CTGCTTACTATGATGAGATTATTCATAGTCTCAAACATGCATCTCAATTACATATTGCCTCCAAGAAACGTGATCATTTCCACAGAGCTGTCCCAGGGTGGACTGAGCATGTGAATGAGAAGCATGTGCTCTATGGAGATGTGTATTCTCTCTGGGCAATGGTTGGGAAGCCTCGCCATGGTTATATATACTCTCAGTTGCGACTAGCCAGATCCCAGTTCAAATATGCTCTTCGTTTCTGCTTAAAAAATGAAAAAGCACTTAGGGCCAAGGTGTTGGCAGACAAATTTGCTAATAGCCCATGTAACTTGAAACAGTTTTGGAAGGAAGTTCAAAAACTCAACAGCAGCCCACCAGTTGCGCAGACTGTGGCAGGTGTAAATGGTGATGTAGACATTGCCGCGATGTGGAAGAATCACTTTTCTGATATTCTGAACAGTGTTCGTGCTGATGGTGCCAAGGAGGATGTTTTGAAACGGCTGCGTGCTGACAATCCAGCAATAGATCCTTTTACGGTGCAAGAAGTGCTGGGAGCTATTAATGAGTTAAGCGTTGGTCGCTCACCTGGCTGTGATGAGCTGTGTGCTGAGCACTTTAGAACTGCTGGAATTTCATGTGCCACTCACCTCTCACTCTGTTTTTCCATGATGATGAGGCACAATTGCTTGCCTCAATCATTGACCAATGTCGTTCTGTGCCCTATTGTTAAAGATAAAACATGTGACGTAACTGACAAAGACAACTATAGACCGATTGCCTTAGCTACAGTGTGTTCTAAAATCCTAGAAAAAATGATTCTGAAGCGGTGCAGGCTTGGTTTGGTTACAAGTGACCATCAGTTCGGTTTTAAGGATGGACACTCCACTGATATGGCTGTTTTTGCTTTCAAAGAAATTGTTGATCATTATCTTCGAAACAGTAGTCCTGTTTTTGTTTGTTTTCTTGATGCTCGAAAGGCTTTTGACCGGGTTAACCATTGGACCTTGTTTGATAAACTCTTGCGTCGAGGTGTTGATGCCACTATTGTGCAACTATTAGCTTCGTGGTATGGTTCGCAAACATTCCGTGTGATGTGGGGCACCTGTTTGTCGGAAGGCTTTCATGTGTCCAATGGCGTCAGGCAAGGTGGTATCTTGTCCCCATATCTTTTCAACGTGTACATTGATGAGCTGTCTAAAAAATTAGACAGTAGTGGTGCTGGTTGTCATTATTTGGGCAGTGTTAATCACCTTTGTTATGCAGATGACATGGTACTGCTATCGCCAACGCCTCAAGGACTGCAAAAATTGCTTGACATTTGTGCTAGATATGCCGATGCACATGATATTGTTTTCAATGTTAAAAAGACGGTATGCATGGCTATTCTGTCCAATTTGTTTAAAAATATGTCTTTACCAGATATAGTCTTGAATGGTACTGTGCTTACTTATGTGAATAGGTATAAATATCTTGGCTTTGAAGTGAGCAATGTCCCAACAAAATCTGATGATCTGGAGGTGCAGCACCAGTATCGTCTTCTGTGTTGTCGAGCCAATTCGCTGATCAGAAAGTTCTCTCTCTGTACTTATCAAGTGAAGAAGTATTTGTATTCCATGTATTGCTCGAATGTTTCTGGTGTTCATCTTTGGCATTCTCATCGTGCTGCTGTTCTGCGTAAATTCGTAGTTTGTTTCAATAACGCTGCTAGAATGTTCTTTGGTTATGACCGCTTTAGTAGTGCCTCATCTATGTATGTGAATGAGCGCATTGATAACTTCTGGGCTATGTACCGAAAAGCTGTTTTCGGCTTCATGACTCGTATCGGACAATCTCGCAATGGCATCATCGCATCCCTATTTCATGGGGATCTTCGCGTTTTGTCGTCAATTCGACAGACCTGGTCCACTGCACTGTTTGCATATAGCTGATTGTATTTAGCATATAGCCGATCACTGATCAGTGATCTTTTACTTACATGTGCCTGTTTTTTTTTTTTTTATTGGACCTCGAGTCTGCAAATGTAGAAATCTCTCTCTCTCTCTCTCTCTCATAAGATCTAGCCCTAGGTTATGGCCTCAGCCCTAACCAAAAAGACATGCTGCATATCAATATATTTGTATTGTTCATCTTAGCAAGGAGCTGTTACCATTCTATCAAGGTTCTTAAAATTTGACCTCAGGTCTCCCATCTCAAATATAAATACTGAAATAGGTACCTATATGTTTGTGCTGGTACCCTGAAGATCTCCCTCCCCTCATGGAGCAGTGGGCCTGTTCCAGCACCTCCAGAAACCTCCAGAAAACTCTAGAATTCTCCAGAGAGCATTCCAGCACCTCCAGAAAGATCCAGAAAGCTCTCACCAAAGCTCCAGAGACCTCTAGCCTCCAGAGAGTTCAGAGGTCCACATTTGATGATGATGAAGTCTTCAGGGTATCGCCTTAGCATCGGCACCCCTTGAGAGCCCCTTTCTTTTCTCTGGAGGCTCTGGTCTACAATTTTGGCACACATGTGACAATTATGAATGTTAACAAAGGGCTTTTGACAATTAATTTTACAATATGAATGTTAAGAAAATTACATCATAATTTTACGAATCTTACTCATTAAAATCAATAACATTTTGTTTTTCCAGAGTCAACCATCTTCATTCTTTTGGTATCTGTGACACAAATATCCAAAAATCTCCAGATTGCATTCCAGTGACTCCAGTAGAACTTCCGGTAGAGCCTCCAATCAAGAATTTCTACTGGAGCGCGGAGGCACACCTCCAGAAAACTAGGGGCCTGTTCCAGCACCTCCAGAAACCTCCAGAAAGCTCTAGAATCCTCCAAAGAGCGTTCCAGCGCCTCCAGAAAGCTCCAGAAAGCTCTCCCCAAAGCTCCAGAAACCTCCAGTAGCCTCCAGAGAGTTGAGAGGTCCAAATTTCTCTGGAGGCTCTGGTCTACAACTATGGCGCACATGTGACAATCACAAATGTAGGCAAAAGACTTTTTACTGTTAATTTCACAACTTGGATGCAAAGAAAACTACATTTTTACAATTTTGTTAATCTTTCTCACAAAAATTAAAAGAAAATTTTGTGTTTCAAGAGAGAACCAACATCATCCTTTTGGTATCTGTAACACCAACTTCCAGAAATCTCCAGATTGCGTTCCAGCGCCTCCAGTGAAACCTCTGGTAGAGCCTCCAGTCAAGAATTTCTGCTGGAAGCGCTGGAACGGACCCTAGAATTCTCCAGAGAGCGTTCCAGCGCCTCCAGAAAGCTCTTGCCAAAGCTCCAGAAACCTCCAGTAGCCTTCAGAGTTGGGAGGTCCACATTTCACTGGAGGCTCTGGTTTAAAATTATGGCGCACATGTGACAATCACAAATGTAGGCAAAAGACTTTTTACTGTTAATTTCACAACTTGGATGCAAAGAAAACTACATTTTTATAATTTTGTAAATCTTTCTCACTAAAATTAAAAGAAAATTTTGTGTTTCAAAAGAGAACCAACATCATCCTTTTGGTATCTGTAACACCAACTTACAGAAATCACCAGATTACATTCCAGCACCTCCAGTAAAACCTCTGGTAGAACCTCGTCAACAATTCCAACTGGAGGCGCTGGAACAGGCCCATATTTTCTGAACAGTTATCAGCCATAATGTCTGAATAATTACAATGTAACTAAATATCTTAAGCCCAAAAAAGATAGAGAAATATAACAGCAATCACACAAATTTTCACAAAAGGGGAGCAAGTTTATCAGGTAACTAGTTCCTGTAGCAACTTCCTGCAAACACGGGTGGAATCTGGGCCCTGTTTCACCGGTGATAGCAGCACGCTGCTTTTACACGTGTCAAATTGGGTTTCCATGGAAACATCAACAGGCCCATTGCTCCAACACTACCACAAGTGTGACGTCAGCTCGCGCAATTTGATAGCAGCGTCCCGTGAAACACCACCCTGAAAACACTGTGCCTGGGGCAATTTGATGAATGATCTTGAAAATCGCTTAACATTATCATGTGATAACTAGCCTGAACAGCACCAAGAAGGTGAAAATATCCTAATAATCATGTGACTAAAAATGCCCTCTGGCACCGTTTTCAGATTCCACCCAAACATGGCAATACCCAGAGTGCTGTTCACGGGCACCTGTGGTGACTGCGGTAGATCGCAGGCTGAAAGTCCCGCCCACTTGTGTATACGTCATCACGCGTTCGCCTGCGGCGGCTGTGTCAATTTTGCGCCCAAGTAACACGAATGCGCAACTGCCGCGCCACTTTGCATGATAAATGGTTCCTGCGGCCGCTGCGGTCGGATCGTTTCGACCGCAGGAGACGCAGGCGACCGCAGCCGTATGACGTCACACCACCCGCCCCATCCCCACTTTCTGTGACGTCATTACCCGGCTGACCGCTGAGCCGCAGCTACCGCAGGTGCCCGTGAACAGCACTCAGGTCACACAAGTTCCGGCATTCTTATAGCAGGCGTCTGACATGCTGCCACCCGTTTATGAAAAGTCTCTAGACTCTTAATTTCTTGAGATATTTACATGAATTTCTCTTTAGGGTGTAGGTTTGTAGGCTGTAGGTTTGTAGGTTTGTAGGTTGTAGGTAAGGTAATGTCAGGTTAGGTTATGTTTTTGTTTTGTAGACCACTTTAGAGATTTTAATAGCAAAATTTGAGGAAATATCTCTAGAGAGGAGAGACTTTTCACGAATGGTGGCAGCATGTGAGACGCCTGCTATAATAATACCAAAGTCCCTGTACAATCTAACACTGTATAGCTAGGGCTTGATATTTTTAAAATGATTGTATTTTTCAGCATTGTCATGAACTGACAAACAAAAAAATGAAGGTAATTGACACTGCAGAGGTGCTAAATCAACAGGGCATTTTTCGTCGAACAAACGTCAGGCTAGGTCGAAAAAATAACAAAGGTGACAAAACATGTGATGAAGAACAAAACATAGCATAGATTAAAGCTCAAATATCATGCATAACACCCAAAAATCTTCGAAAATCGATCCTTACCTCGCAAACGCCACTGAGAGGTCTCAGGTTCACTTCGAAGAGGATGTACAGCGTTGTCGTTTTCAACAGCAGAGTATTGAAAAAATATAATTTTTGACAATATATTTTCAGCTGAATATGCTTGCCTGTTTCATATTATTTTTATAACATCCAATTTTCAGCAATAAATCATTCAAAGATAACAATATTTTCGAGAGAATTGATGTGTTTCAAATAGCATACAGTAGCCAATCTAGCACTAAACTGTTTTCTCCCCTAAAAATTGTTATCGTGTCTAATGTAGGAAGTAGGTACAAATGAGCTACCCACTTGCAGCGGCTCTGCCACGGTTTCAGTATTGGGGTTTTCACCAAAAAATGCACACCCTTATGCATGAGGCTACATAACAGAAGTGAAATTATTTGAAGGATTGGGGAGAGGGTCCGGAAGAAACCGAAACCCCTGATGGCGGAGCGCCTAGTGCCTACTTGTAGAAAGGTCAAAGGATAGTAGGTAGTCGTGTCGGAGCTTAACCCTCGCCGGCACAGGCCATTTCGCGTCATTAGACGGCACAAGGGCACACGCGAGGGTGGCAACACCCCCCTCGCGTTTGGCCCCTGATCGAGCTAGAGCTTCGCGGAAAAAAAACGAGCGTGCTGCCCGTCACGAGAGGAAGCCGATGATCCCCCATTCTAAGGTCCTAGGTCATCGGGTGACCTTCCAGGTAAGGTCAATGATCCGAAAATCGGGAAAATCGGGACCTGTTAGAAAGTCGTAAAGTAAAGCTGCTATGGGGTTTTCCGGGGTGCTGATCACGGATATCGTGTTAGTTTTGATCAGAGATGATGTCTTTAAGCATTTAGACCAGGTCGGGTCAGGTCAGGTCAGGTCAACCGGTAGGGGTCGTGACGGGTATTCGTGATACGTGTCAACCGCCTCTGACAGCTTCGTAACATGTTACGAAGGCACCAAAACTACTTCGTAAATGTTCAAATGGTTGCTAAATTAGAAATCAGCTCCAAAAACTAGCCTAGAAACATGTAAAACTCGAAAAAGTGAACCGAGGTCATCAAAGGTCAATGACCTGACCTGACCTTCAGGTGACCTTGACATCCACCCTAATGCATGGGAGCAACATCAAATCACATGTTTGAACGTTTGAAACCACGAAAAGCTGGCAAACGCGCGGCTAATGCGAGCCGACATACGCCGAATCGCGATTCCGGCCAAACATGGTCTCGGAAAGTAGGTCACAGGTCAAAGGTCATTTGGGTCAGGGTCATGAAATTTTGAGGGTGGGTGTAAAATTGATTAATGCGAGGGTACTGAAAGTTTCGTCGCGATCGGCCGCTTTTTACGCGAGTTATTCGCGAAAAACCTTAGGGGGGCTGTATCAGCCCCCCCCCCCCTGTGCCGACGAGGGTTAAGAAAATAAAACGCTGGAAGATGAACGGTGAATATTGGCATTTGGCTATAACATACCTATATGTAACAGGCGAATAATCTCCACGTAATAATTTGCATTGGTAGCATGCCCAGTAGCACTTAGCTAATAGAAATGGTAACCGCAACTCTATTCTGATAGTTGCTGTACTAATGTCACTCCCGTTCCACGATGGTCGACTATCATGCTATTAGTGAATCAATTTCCATTATTATTGCGTCTGATGCTCGAGTCCAGAATCCAGCAGCAGACCCTTCCTCGGGGACCTACGGACTACGGTGGGAAGGTTGGTATATCCCCAATGATTCTGAACGTACACGAAAGACGGCGGGAGCATGCTTTAATGTTTCCATCAATATTTCATATTAGGATCATGTGTATTTCCCTGCCATCGACCGTGACGTCGAGCCTCTAGCTTGGCTAGTTGGCTTTTACCATTGGTTAACCCTAGAACGCCTAGGGGGGGGGGGGGGGGGGGGTTGTATCAACCCCCCCCCCCCCTGAGGTTTTTTCGAAGTGCACGCTAAACGGCTTGTCGTAGCGGGCTGAAATTTTCAATACCCTCTGGGGCAACCTTTGCGCATCTTTTGCCGAAAAAAAATTGATCGGGTCATGTCAGGTCACGGAGTTATGACGTCATAAGAGGTACAGCCTCCGGCCGACAGTTACCAAACGTGTGCGCCGAATCCCTAGGTTTTCTGCCGGTGATACCCACATTGTTTGATGGATCATGATGAAACTTCCCATGCATGTTGGGGCAAGCATTGGCTATCGTGTGGTGCAAGAAAATTGACCGGGTCAGGTCAGGTCACGGAGTTATGACGTCATAAGAGGTACAGCCTCCGGCCGGATTTTCACGAAGTGTGTACCGAGTCCCGAGGTTTTCTGCTGATGCTATCCACATTGTTTGATGGATCGTCATGAAACTTCCCATGCATGTTGGGGCAAGTATTGGCCATCGTGTGGTGCAAGAAACTTGACCGGGTCAGGTCAGGTCACGGAGTTATGACGTCATATGTGGTACAGCGTACGCCGCCATTTCTGAGAAGTGAGTGTCTGATAAATGCGCCCCCAGCTTTTTTACGATTGCATGTGGAGTAGTGCATGTATGCTAATAGAACTTTCCAGACATGTTGGGACATCTATTGACTAACTTTTGAATTAAACAAAATGGCCGGGTCTTGTCAGATTAGAGAGGTATGACGTCATGAGTGGTCCAACATCCCGTACGGTTATGTGCAGCCGTAAATTATTTGTTTTACAACGATTTTATGAGCAATGTCGGTATATTTATCCATGGCTAGCGCTAGTCATTATTACTTTGAGCTTTTGTATTGTGGCTCGAACTTTCAGAGGCCATCGAAGGTCAATGACCTCTTACTTTTATAGGGTAAATACACCAAAAACACCATATATGATGCAGAATTGAGTGGGGAATACGTTGTTGAAGGTTTGAAGTTAATATCTCTCACCGTTTTGCCGCAATCGTTGCGCAAAGTTGAAAAAGTTTGATTTTTTTCGGAAAATTTGACCTTTGACCGGTCATAAGTAGGTCAAATGTTGACCTAGGACCAAAAAATATACCACCAATCGCGAGATCTCGTTGAGAGCAATCCGTTGGTTTTTTCCGCTAAGCTCTACGACCTTCCGTTTCGAAACGCCAGGGGGGGGGTCGTAACAACCCCCCCCCCCCCTGGTCGTTCGTGTTATGAGAAATGGCCTGGTCGTGCGAGGGTTAACCAATGGTTAACCCTCGCCCGCACATGGGGGGGGGGGGTTACCACAACCCCCCCCCCCCAGGGGTAGTCTTTCTGCTCTGCACTCAACATTTTTATAGCTAGATGCCTGATTTTTAGTATAGCTGCTCCTCTATCCTTTCTTGATGTCCACTGAAAATTTCAAGTTTCTATGGTTTTTGGTTTCGGAGATATGACCTTGTTTTTCAGGTCATGTCATGACCCAAATGACAAATTCTCAACATCTTGCGTTGGCTATGGGCCTTGTGAGCTTTTGACACCTCATGATTTCGGTCTTTTTTGCCAGTCTTACCTCCCACCTATCATGAAACATGTTGTTCGACGATGTACAGATGTCAAGGTCAGGGTCAAGGTCAACCTAGGTCATCTAAAATAATTGCGTTTTAGGCAAGCTGAATTTACTTTTCGTGAATTATTTTGACTGCATTTTTGGTAAAAGCTTCTCAGATCATGATTTCATGTAATATGGACACATAAACACTCGGTGCACACATCAGTATACACACAGACACACACAGACATACAAACACAAATAATTGACCTTGACCTAACTTGACCTTAAATGACCTCGGCGGCAAAAATCTGGTCGGGTAGTGTGACAAAGAGGTTCTAGCTGGCTTGGCACCAGAAAACGGCATCGTCATCGGTGTATGATAAGCAGCGCACTTGATATCAAACGGTGACCCAAAACAGCAACATTTTTTAGTTTGACCTGACCTGGAAGGTCACTGACTGACCTGAGAAGGTAAAACTGGGTATCATTGGATTCGTCTCTTCCCAAAGAATCTTTTTAGTCCTTACCGCGAAGCTCTATCTCCAACAGGAACGAAATGGCGCGGGGGGGTTGCAACCCCCCCCCCCCATGTGCGTTCCAGGATGAGAAAATGGCATGTGCGAGCGAGGGTTAACCAACCAAATTGAATGTAACTTCTTGCACGTGTTTACAACATGGAAGACGCACACCTCCAGCCATCAAGAGGACTATACAGATGTTGACCATTGTTAGATTGTGGCTGGCGCGTCTCTGCGTAGGGTTCCTGTCCTTTCCTGACCCCTCCTTCAATAAAAAGCAGAACAAGGGAACCCGACAAGGTAAGAAGATCAGGTAAGAAGATCAGTAACAAGCCGGCAGTAAGTACTTCCTCCGGCGGGCATTGCCGAACGCATGCCACTGATAGGTGACCAAGGGAACGGATCCTGCTAATGAGCTACCGCACGGCAGCCTTTTTGGCTACTGGCTTCAGCAAATACGACCTGAGGCCTTTACTTTTAGCGCAATGCATGCCCATAGGCATGCAGTGCGCTAAAGGCCCGTCGTACCTATCCTTGCGAATGACGGTTTGCCTGTACCTATCTTCTTGCATATATCGACTATACCATACGATATACCTCCTTGTGACCTATTGCATATGTTTTTGCAATATTTGTATCTGTTTGACTTTTGAGCGTGTATCTCGTGTCATTTATCGAAATTTCATCGGCTCATCACCTTAATCGTTCGCTGAACAGCTCACGCTGCACATTTCCGGCTCGTTTATCGGCGCCGGTGCTGTGAGTGCTCTAAACGTTCAACACTCAACACAACATAACACAACACAATGCAGCACTCAGTCAGGAACTCAATAGATCAGACTGTCAGGCACCTGAGTGGTTTGCGTGCACTGCAGCGGTCCTCAGCGTATTGTGGAGGCCCCATATGAGTCGTTCTGTGTGGCCATGCCCGACCTTAAGGTGACTGGCAGCCATTCACTGAGGCTGAGCCATAATGAAATACGTAGGTCGATGTGGCGTTAGACCACAGAGCTTTGGTGCGCAGGTTATCGGGGTACTAATGCTTGACGGGAGTCGTGATATTAGGGTTGTTTATGTGACGACTGGAGATTAGCGTTATGGTGGGCGAGCGGCGAGCGCTCTTATATAGCGCTCTGTCCAGAAGTCTGCACTCCAAATAATAATGACAATAAATGAGACATTAAGTGATTCGGATATAAAATGGGTCCAGCATCACAAGTTGTCAATGAAAAGAAAATTAAGTATAATTAGGTTTAACCCGTGCACCGACGGG